ACAAAAGTGTTAGAAAATACATCTTTGCTTTGATAATCATTACTTTTTTACGTTTCAAACAAACACTCGCAAACATGAACTGGGGTACATAAACACCCCGGTTTGACGTTTGTATCGCAAACAAACAGAGCCTTATAAGTGTTTCTAAACCTTGTATTTGCACTATTTTCAAACGAAGCCTAAGGCTATGTTTGGTTGCAGTGCAATTTTATTTGCACTAGTACAAATGCATGGGAGTGCAAATGAAAAGAATGCAAACTTTGGCTTAATTTTATTTTGGGTTTTACTTTATTCGGTTTCAGATCTTATTTTACTTAATTTTTAATGCAATCAAACAAAAAAAGGTAAGTTTTAAAATAAAAATAAATCAGAATTTGCACTACCATGGTTTTGCATCAGTGCAAATAAATTCGCATCGCAACCAAACACAGTCTAAGAGTCAAAACTCAAGAGGGGAAAAACATAATAGAAAAATAATCTAATCCATGCTTATGATTCTTTTCCTCTCAGTAACATATGGGGTTCAATCACTGGTATAACAACATAAATAGTGGGAAAATGAAAAATATAGAAAATCCATGTGAATTGCTTTAGTTATCCAACCGAGTTAGCATGGTTTTCTCTTTCTCTACCCTATGATAGAGATGGCAACATGGTGGGTTCGAAAGGGGGGTTTTATAGATTCTAGACACTCCCTACCTTTTCCAAACGTTCTAGCTTGTCCTCTTCCCAAAACTTGCAATTGGTTGAATTTTTAGAATTCAAGCCCTCCCATGCATTATGAATATCAACTTTAATGAAAAAATGGAAGAACAACAAACATCTGGGAGGACCAGTGGGTTCTGTTGCTCCCTAAAGCTTTCACTCCCTCGTATTCGCTAGGGAACCCCCTCTTTCCTTACATTTTCGTTATACATGGAGGGAATCCTAATAAGGTTGGTTTGCAAAAAAAAAAAAGGGTCTGTAGGTAATTACTTGTTTTTTCCCCCACAAAACTTCAGTTATTGTAGTTTTAAATTTATTGAGTTAATGGATAATTTTGCAAGAGGTAACGACCAAAAAACCTAATTAAAAAAATCACCATTAACGTTTTTCAAAAATTGTGCCTGAAAGTCACCAAAAAATTACATATAGGATATTAGGATTCTTAAAATTATCATAATATCACAAAAAAAAGAAAAGAAAATTATCTTGATGCTCCGATTGTGGATGAACGAATTAACAAAAGTACCTTCAAAATGGTATAAGAGAGAATATAAAATAAATTGAGTGGGTGGAAAAAATAACTGCTTATCTCTAGCTGGTAGAGCTACCCTCTTGATGGTTAACATTAGCATGATGCCCCAATATTTTTTTGTAAAGTTTTCTATTTTTCCTCAAATAATCTGAAAGTGATAAGAAACCTTCTCCCTCGTGCAATCAAAAAGTCGTTGTTTTCCATGCAATTAGGGTGAATGGAGACTTAATAAAATGGAATGGTTTAACAAGGCTTCCGTTTCTAAATTAGGATGGGGAATTTTAATGTAAGGTTCAAGTGGTTTCAAAAAATTATTTGGTTCAAGAGAGTTTTTGGAATGTAAAACTCAAAAAGAATTGCCCATGGGCATAGGGAGTCGAGGTGGCTTCAAGCCGAGCCAAATATTTGGCTATTTGGAAGAAAAAATACGAGGTCTTAGTTTGGGATTGAGCACCATTCGAGATAGAGACACGAGCTTAAATTTAGCTGTGACTTATAAGCTCATATATTCGAGTTTGTCTTGGGTCAACTGACAAATAAGCTTGCATATTTGGTTTTGAGTTCCACTTGAAGCTTGGTTTAGACCAAATTGAGTCCAGCTTTTCACGAGTCAAGCTCGAATAGATTGTGAAAAGCTCAATTTGTATCCACCCTAGTGGGGAGGAATCTTAAATCAAATAGGAATTTTGAAAAAAAAAACTTTGTTTAAAAAAATGGCAATAAGAGAGAGACTCAATTTTGGAATGATAGTTTGATTGGTGATCTATGTTTAAGTAAGATGGATAATGTAGGGGACATGGTTAATGAGAACATCATGGTTCAAAATGTGACAAACTACTCAATAAAATGTCATAACATATAGAAGATTTGCAACCATGTAAATTTTCAAATTTGGAACATAAATAAAAATTACAACAATTCCTCTTACTACCAAGTAAGCATATAGGTTAATTGCTAGGGAGAAAGTGCATTGCATCCCTTTCTAATGGTGGCTATAAGAAGATTTGGAATCTCCATTTTCTCCGGAAAATGATTTTTTTAACTTAGTACTTTTTTTTGAAGGATTTTTTAATTTGGTACTTAAAAGATAAAATGTTGGTCAAGTCTTTTCTTGGTAGAAGAGGTTTAGATGTTAGTTTGGATTGCTATGAAATTAGAGAATTAGAAGACAATATGCACATACATACATATATATTGGTCAATCCTTAACCTTAATGTTCCCACCCCATATTGTACCAATTTAATCATTAAGGATCGGTGCAAGAGCTTATGTCTTCTTAATGGGGCAGGCTTTAGTAGATATATTTATATGGATATAGCCTTAATTCATTGCCATTGTGGAGAAACATAAATAATAAAGTATTTAGAGGTCTCCCACCCTCTATAATTTTAGAGAGGGCCAAAGCGACATCATGGATTCAATATAAAACCATTTGGATGTTAGTGATGAAGTTGAAGTTGTTAAACTCAAGAGGTGGATTGGAGTGAAGGGATCAATATCAATTTTGGTGCTTTTAGGATGCCAAATGGTGAATGTGCAATTAGAGATCTTGTTTAGGAATCTATTGGCTCGACCTCTTTAGTTTAGTTTTTTTTTTTGGAAAATCTATTTACTTGGGTAAATGAATTTTTTGGCTCCATTTGCTTTTTGGTAAGTTACTTACCTAGGTAAGTGCAATTACATAGGTAAAATTTTTCTTAGGAAACACTTGCCCATGCAAGTGCATTTACCCATGTTCTTTTATTTCCCAGGTAAATAAGGCAATGACCATTTTAACTACGGAAACCTATTATTAAAAGGGGCATTTTTATCCCATTCAAGTGTTAGCAACTTTTTCCCTATGTAGGAAAGTTATTTACCCATAGGTGATGGGTATCACTTACTTAGAAAAACAAACATTCCCTAATCCCCACACATAAAATTGACAAAATAACATGGGATTCTTGGTTAATGGGAACCAAAATCCCATTGACCAATGGTCAATCGTGATAATTGAAGACTGTCATGAGGTTTGTGAAAGGTTTATTTAAATAAGCATGGGAACCATGCTTAGAGAGGCTAATATGATTTCAAAACATGGTTAAGTAGGTGTTAGTCATTGGTGCTGGGAATACCACATTGTTTTATGAGAAAAATGGTGCTGGGCATGTGGAACCGGCGCTGCCATATAGGTTGTTTCCTAAGAAAACAACATTGGTTTTGTTTGATACAAGTGCTGGCAACAATGGTGCTTATTTTTTTGTTTGAAACTGGTGCTGCCACATAAGCTGTTTTTTTTTTTTTTTTTTGAGAAAAACAACACTGGTTTTGTTTGGTACTAGTGTTGGCATCAACGTTTTCAATATGATTTATATTATCCAACGTTCAAGATGATGCCACATCATTTCACCGATGGCAGCAATGCACTGTTTTATCAAAAAACATTGAATTTGGCGTTACTCCAGACCATACTTATTTCCAAGGCATGGCCAGGAGCAACTTCTTTTTTTTTTTTTTTTTGAATTGAAAAACAATACCAAACAAGAAGACATTGTTTGAAGCACTATTTTCTTTGATGTGGTGCTTATGCGGCGCCATTTTCTCATAAAACGACATCAATGCCAAACACCATCTGTCCAATTCGATCCAGTACTTGTCGTTAACCAGTTGTTAAGTGACATTTGAAAAGACACAAATACCCTTTGAGTGTCATCTAATTTTCTTTATCAACCACCCACATGTTTAGGGGTGTCCATGAAAAACCGAAAACCGAAAATTGAACCACAAAATGCGGTTAACCGAATCGATCAGTTTGGTTTCGGTTCGGAATTTTTTAAAAACCGAAGGACTGGTTCATTTTTGATTAACCTACAAAAAAACCTACGGTTAATCGAACCGACCGATATATATATATTTATATGTATATAAATATATGTCACATATTTTCTATGTATTATATATAAATATATATTCATTATACATATAAATATATACTTATATTATATTTATAATGATCTATTTATAAATATATTATATATTTTTAAAATATTTATAATATATTATATATCATTTATTATTTATAATATATATTATGTATAATATTATATTATAAATATAAAAATCCAAAAAATTGAAGAACCGAATTGGTCAAAAATTGAAACCGGCGGACCAGTTAGCCAGTGGTACCGGTTCGGTTTTGGTTTGGCAAAATGGAAAAACTGATACCACCGGTTCGATTTACAAAAAAACCATGGACACCCCTGCACATATTGATAAAAATGAACAGTTTCAAATCATTGCCTCTTCTATTTAAGAAAGTTGAGGTTATGCATTAATGGACATTTTAGTAACCCCAACGTTTTTTATCAGAAGGGGCAAGAATTTGAGACTATTCATTTTTTGTCAATGTTTGAATTGGTTGATAAAGAGAATTAGATGACACTCAAAACACATTTATGTCTTTTAAAATGACACTTAATGATTAAGGGGCTTAAGTAATGGCAAGTATTAGATTGACACGTTTTGAAAATTGGATACTAAATTTTCACATTTTAAAATTCGGGGACAAGTAAAACAAGACTCAAATTTTACGTTTTGATAACTGGATGTGAATACATTAGGACGTGTGATGTTCGGGAAGGTCTACCCTGGAACTGTACTGTAGCCCATCTTTATTTTCCCGGATTTTTATGGGTATTTTAGTAAATTCAGTATACGGGCAGCCGGGGCAGGTACCCGCCGGGTATGGAGAAAATTGCCATCCCTGCGCCCACGAAGGCACGAACTAACAACAGTCGGTGTTGTATGTCAACAGTTCACTCAACGAAAGGAAAAAGGGGAAAAAACAAAACTTTCTCGAAGGCGATCTCGCTCCCTCTCTCTGAGGTCAATCTCTGAGAGGTACGTTTCGAATACTAGCGTTTCTACTGCAAACCCCCAGGAAAGGATTATATATATCTTCTAGCGTCCACCGAATTTGATCGCCACGTTCATTGGTTCCATATTGATTATTCTTTCCGCCGTCGTTATTATCAATGGGACATCTGATGCTAGGGTTTTTAGGTTTTGCAGAGAGAATCGGTTCTGCAATGGTGGGGAATTCATAGCTTCGCTGAGGAAGATAATGATCGGATTGGGTAAGAGGGGTTCGGATTGTATGGGCAAAGAATGCCTGAGTTGCGTAGTGGGGTACGTCGTGGCCGTGATCCGACCGTAGATCAGCGTCGGAAGACGAGAGGTCGAGGAGCGAAGAAATCCGAGCCCTTGGTCGGCAATTACATCAGAACCAGAGCGGCTGTCGCGAAGGAAGCTGCGAAAGCAGACGCGGCGGAAATCGGGGCTAAGACCCGACCGGTGAGGCCAAGGACTAGATTGGCCTCGAGGAATCGGGCCAAGGCTCCGGTGATTGTGATTTCGGAAAGGGACGGTGAGTCGGGTCGTGAGCAGTTTAAGGAGGTCAGCGAAAAGGGAGAAGGAGGAGATCGGATTGCGAACCCAGTGGAAGAGGTTAGGGCGGAAAGTCGCCGGAAGGAAATGATGGGAGACGATAGCGGCGGTCTAAGTGCTAATAAGGCTGGTGGTCAGGAAGAAGAAGGGAGCACTGCTCCTTTCCCTGAAAGGGTATGCTCGTTTCTTTGTCAAAGATGGGATCTTATATTTTCTTTGACTGGTGTTGGTTCTAATTACTATTGGTATTTATTGTTTTATTTCTTTACTGTAAGTGCATTTTATTGGCCATAATTATCATATCAGTTGTTGTTTGTAGTTTGTACATTTTGGCATTCATTGGAATGCCCTGTGCATTTAGTTCTTTTTATTCATTTAAAATAACTTTGAACATCCTCTTCGCTTTCTTTTTCAGGTTCAGGTAGGAGGGTCACCAGTCTATAAGATTGAGAGAAAGTTGGGTAAAGGTGGGTTTGGCCAGGTATTTGTTGGTCGCCGTGTTTCAGGTGGGAATGAGCGGACAACAGGTCCTGGGGCTATGGAGGTAAGTCTCGACTTAGTTCCTTTACAAGAACATGACAACTGTGTATTGGAAGAATGTTTATATGTTCTTCATGTGACATGTGTTATGACTTGTCTCATTTTATGATTTATCCTTAATAGGTGGCTCTGAAATTTGAACATAGAAGCAGCAAAGGCTGTAATTACGGCCCTCCATATGAGTGGCAAGTTTACAAGTATGTCTTATCATTTCATTTGAATGCATCTATCAAACTCCCCCTCCCCTTCGATCTTCTTTTTTATCTTTATTTTTTTCCTCCTAAACCTTTATTGCAATTTTTGTTGGATAGCACTCTCGGTGGCAGTCATGGAGTGCCCAGAGTACACTATAAAGGGAGGCAAGGGGACTATTATGTTATGGTATGATTCAGATTCTCATATCTCTTTCTCTCTCTCAAGTCTCAATCACACCATTGTTATTCTTTTTTCATTAATTTCTGTCACCTTTGATAAGTTTAGTTTTTAGCATATGCTTCTCTGGGGGCTGCATCTATATTTCCTGCTTCCTTCAGAAATAGAAATATTGTTGCTGTCATGTTTTGGTGAAAAGATATCAATCTTACATCTATGCAGGTTATGGATATGCTAGGGCCTAGCTTATGGGATACATGGAATTCTTCAGGGCAAGCGTAAGTATCTATCATTCTACCATTTCTATAATTCATGATCTCCAAAGTTTGAAACTTTGTTGGGGTATCTATTAGTGAGTATGTGCTGTTAGATGGGGTGTAAAACATGACGATCATTGTTGTTGCATCACCACCATTGTCTTTGATAAGTAAGAATAACTTTTTTTTATCAGTATTGACAAGTAAGATTATTGTACTAAGAAAAATAAGAGGAGGATACTATTATTAGTTGCAAAGAGGAATCTTTCCATCATATGAAACTTTTCATGGCAATCTTATGCATTGTCACTTTCTCATATTTACAAGTATCTTTGAACTGTAGTTACTGTACTACCATTATATACTACTATAGTTCCACTATAAATCAGTTACGGCTTCATTGAGTTTAATGTGTTTCATATTCAACATATTTTCTTTAAAATATTTCCAATGGCAGATATCATTATTTGTGTGATTTGATGATGTTGTTATGGCTTACTACCTCAAGAATTGTCACTTCCAAACTGTGGTAGTGGATCTTCCAGCTCCTATTGTAGCTTCTGAAATGTTTTATAATGCATTTTTTACCTGCCTGAATCCTAGTCTTTTGCACTATACATTCCATGACGCTTTCCCACGTATCAATAAAATAAAAAATATTAATTTACTTCACATTTGCAGTATCCTACTAGGAGATCCATGGTATAGTGCCTTGATTGTCTGCTGGTTTTGTTGGCATTCTTTCAGTTGGTGACTGCTAGCTTTTATTTTTCTCTTTTCTTTTTTCCCCTGTGGTACACTTGATATATATTGGAAATTGCTTGTGCTATTGTGCAGAGATCTCTGATATTTTCTTCTTGATGTTTGACATCCATTACATTGGCACTATTAGTTTCTTTAATTTTGTAGGATGTCCTCAGAAATGGTAGCATGTATTGCAGTTGAATCTATATCAATCCTGGAGAAGATGCATTCAAGAGGGTAACTTTCTTTTTTGCATTGTTCTAACATAGTCAGTTATTTAGATTCACCAGCCTGGACTGTTGATTTTTTCCTTTTTCTTTTTCATTTGATTATCTACCTATTTTGGGTTTCCATTTTTCACTTCACACCATTCTCTGTCTGACTTTAGCTATGTCCATGGAGATGTAAAGCCTGAAAACTTTCTACTAGGTCAGCCATCTACACCACAAGAGAAGAAGTTATTTCTTGTTGACCTAGGACTAGGTGAGACATCTAGGCTCACAATTTATCATTATTCTTTGAGAATCCTGGTTGGATTGACATTTTTTTGTCATTATTGTTTCTCTGTTTCCTTAATTATTTCTTTTTGTATTATCCTTCAGCAACAAGATGGAGAGATAGTGCTAGTGGTCAGCATGTTGAGTATGATCAACGACCTGATGTCTTCAGGTCAGTTGTTTATATTTTGTAATAATTTATAGTTAAAACCTGATACTGAATTCTGTCCTGATACCATTAGCTAATTTATTGTCACAGAGGAACTGTTCGTTATGCTAGTGTGCATGCACACCTTGGAAGAACTGCAAGCAGGAGAGATGATCTGGAATCTCTTGCATATACTCTTATATTTCTTCATCGAGGCAGACTGCCATGGCAGGGTTATCAGGTAATAATGGCTATACCATAGGGCTATTCTATTTCCCCAATAGACCTTGTTTGTCGATAAAATGGCTCTTCCTCAATATGCTTATTTATTGTTTACTTCAGGGTGATAACAAATCATTCCTTGTTTGCAAGAAAAAGATGGCAACATCTCCTGAGATGCTGTGTTGTTTCTGCCCCCCACCTTTTAAGCAATTCCTTGAGATTGTTGTAAATATGAAATTTGATGAAGAGCCCAACTATTCCAAATTAATATCTTTATTTGAAGGGTTGATTGGACCAAATCCGGCAATAAGGCCAATTAATACTGATGGTGCCCAGAAGGTAATCCATAGCCTTGCTTATAGTTTCCACATCATATTTATTTCCTGGGTGTTCATTGATGTTCAATACTTTTAGCTCTTCATTAATCCTTGCCAGATTATCTATCAAGTTGGCCAGAAACGTGGTAGGTTGACCATTGAGGAAGAAGATGATGGGCAACCAAGGAAGAAGGTCCGTCTAGGAGTTCCTGCCACACAGTGGATTTCAGTTTACAATGCTAGGATGCCAATGAAACAGAGGTACTATTATTTTCTGTTTATTATATTTTTCTGAAATGAAATGGTTCCATTTTTTTTTCTGGACATTCAAGTGTGGTTGTAAGATATTTTGGGATAATATATTTCTGTATACAATGGAATGATGGGAAATGGTTATCTATCAAAAAAAAAGATGGAAAATGGTTCTTGCATGACTAGAGGCATGCCTAAAAGTGTCAGGGTTTGGGGGACAGGTGGTAGAGGAAAGAAGTGAGAAATCTATAAAGTTTCCAGCCTTCCAGGACATTGGGTTTGGATAGGAATGTTGTTTGGGAGTGATTGGAGGTGGGCAGTGAGAGGGGAGTACCACATATTGAGTGGTGTACTGGTGTCCCTCTACCTCCATGCCAGAATAACAACCAAAAGCCATTAGTTGGCTTATCATTTTTTTTTTTTTTTTACTTTTCAAGCAAAAATTTTGTATTTCGAAGGATGTTCTACCAATTGGGTAATTGTTAATGAAGGGGTTGTTTGGAAAGTCTTTTTGGGAAGATCTTCTGGTAGCTCTGACAGTCAAAAGATGCATTGAGCTTTTGCATTAAGATCTGAGCCGCCTGAAGCCCATTTGGTTAAGGTGTGTCTTTCCGTGCGTCTTTCTATGCGAAGACGAATAGAAAAAAAAAACGCAAAAGCTCCATTTGGAGCTTCCTGAAAATCGCCCTATTTGGGCTTCTCGTGTCTTTTTGGCGTGTTGGCTTTTGGCGGCTAGATCTGCCACAAACCAAACGGGAAAAGACTGAATGTCTGCCGGGCTTGTAAATAGCCGACAGACAGTGCGAAAAGATGCGCCAAGTGGGGCTGAAGATTATAAAAAGGATATCTGCTGATAAAAAAAGAAGATTATAAAAAGGATACCTTGAAACAGAGGAATGGGCCCACAAAATGACACTGGAATATTATGATATTAAAGGTTCTCAAAGAATATGTCGTTATATCTATGAATGTCATTTGGAATTTTATTGGTTCCTCAGTTTACGAGATGGAACTATTTTTCTTTTGATGAATAACAAATTTTCTCAAGGAACAGAAATATTTCGGCAAAGATGATTACAGCCGACACTTTTTTTTTTTTTTTTGTAATTGGTGTATACTCCATGGTTAGTGAATGATGTATTGTCACTCGCTGTAATGGGAGTCTCCCTTTTCTAATAGCACTACAAATATACTATACCTTTTTCTCAAAGAAAAAAAAGATCACCTAACTCAATAGAAAATTAAAGCACTAGGGAACAAACAGAAACTAAGTCTGAAGATGAATCAATAGAATACTTTGTGAGACCTTGTTGAATGTATGGTTTGGGGGGGAGGGGGTTGTGGGGTTCGTGACATCTGGTGGCTGGATGTGTGGTCAAATCCCAGTGTTAGACCCATTTCCCAGACAGTCAAAACCTGATAGCTGGCCCATTATGACACTCACTTAGAGGTCCACAAGGGTGTATGTACAGATTAGACAAAGCTATGATTTTTTGTCTTCCTTCTCTTAGCCTTGTTCTGCATCATACTCCCTTCTGCTAATGTATTGAGTAGTCGTGGAGGAAAGAGCATCCCTATTTAAAGTTGCGGCTTGGTAAAAGTTACCTTCCTTGGGTCCCACTTTATGTAAGAAAGATGGTATAGGTTATCATCTTTTTTGTTAAAAATTTGCTCTTCCTTGCCAACAAGTGTCGATGTTATCATCATTTATTCTGAAATAGAGTTATCCTAGCCATTAAAGACATGTTTTTTACTTGCACTTATTTATATGTGAATTATTTTTGTAATTAGGTACCATTATAATGTGGCTGATGCTCGATTGGCACAACATGTCGAGAGGGGAAATGATGATGGTCTTATGATAAGCTGTGTGGCGTCTTGTTCCAATCTGTGGGCACTCATCATGGATGCTGGGACTGGTTTCTCAAGTCAGGTGTATGAACTATCACCATACTTTTTACACAAGGTATGGATTCATGTAAAGAGCTAATTTTTGGTTTTCTTGATTCATCATTTATAAATCAACTACAATAATTTGTGTAACTTTGATCCTTCAAACATCACAGGAATGGATAATGGAGCAATGGGAGAAAAACTATTACATCAGTTCTATTGCTGGTGCTACCAATGGAAGCTCTCTTGTGGTGATGTCCAAAGGTTAGTCCCTTTCATCTGGCTGCCAAGATAAACTTATGGGTCATCATCTATGTCTTATCCCAACTATATGGGGTCATCTACCTATTTATCTTTCAATGACAAGGATCCAATATATAAATAAAAAAGTTGCAAACTAGCATGGAATGCAACAATATTCTCTGGAGGCTTTCTCCTTAAAGTAATTAGATGAAATAAAGTATTATGTCTTGAATCTCTAAATTAACTTATTTATTGCTCGATGTGCGTATGATTGTTGAAACACTTATAAGACTTGTTTTAGATTTGTGATTTAGCTCTTTTTTCTTCTTCCAACATTTTATTTGGAGATTCTGAATTAACTTTGTTGTCCTAATTGTGAATCAACTTATTATTTAACATGCCCATGGTTCTAATTGTTTCTAAAAGATTTCGAGGTCAGATGCCTAAAGTCTTGTGTCTTTTTTTTCTGCAAGTTTGTTTGAATTGAATTGATATTTATCAAAAAAAAAGTTTGTTTGAATTGAAATACTGCAATGTTATTTCCCTTTTGCTATGATGTTAAGCTGAAGATCATTTGCTTCTGATTTTCCATCATAAATGGAACAATAAACATGACTGTCATTTCAATAGATGGAATGATAAACATGACTGGTAACCGAAAGGAATTAATAAAATGGTTATTTAGGATCTTTCTTGCAAGATCTCTATGACATACTCAGGTCCACTTGGAAGCAGGAACTCAATACATGCAGAACAGTTGTCCCTACTATAAGGTTGAAGGTTGGCCAAAATGTTGGGTTATGAAGAGGTTAATCATTGGAGGAGATTCTCAGGTTATAATCAGATGGACAGAAACCATTGATTTTGGCCTATGGATGTGTTGAAATGCAATAAGAGTGGCTGGAGCCTTGGTGGCTATTATGAATGCCTTGTTAAGATAGGCTCTGAGATCAGCCTTGGTGGTTGTGGGGCTGACCATTTTAAAGTCTGACTAATTTATCTATGGATGTATATGTAAGTTACTGGAATAAAATTTTGTGTATTTAATAAAATCTCATTAGTATATTAATGATACAAGAAGTTATTTTAGAGGATAATTCTGTGAAATAGCATGCTTCACTATCCACCTTTACAAGTGCAGCATGGTTATAAGCCACTCCCCTCCTCCCCCTGGTCCTCCCTTCTAAGTCTATTATGTATTTTGTATTTTTTTTCACTAGCTGAATGAACTTGTATTACTTACATTCTCCAGGTACCCAATATACACAACAGTCATACAAGGTCAGTGATTCTTTCCCTTTCAAGTGGATAAACAAGAAATGGAGAGAAGGTTTTCATGTGACTTCAATGGCAACTGCTGGAAGCCGATGGGGTATCGTTATGTCTCGCAATGCTGGCTTTAGCGATCAGGTTAAGCTCAGTCTCTGGTCCTATTCTTGGAATTTATCTTTTCTCACCTCGCCCCCCTCCCCATGTTTTGCCTTTTTGAATCCCCTGTTGCAAATAAAATAAAAACTATATCAGTTGCCAAGTCATTGTTGAGGGCAAATATGAAATATATTGGTGCATAAAACCAGTTGGTAAAAAACTGATGCTAAGGGCAGGCTCTACATACAAAGAACTATGGCTACACAAAAACTTGACCAAGCATTTATGTAAAAATGTAAGAGAAGTCATTGCTATTTCTCTACTAATTGTGTTGGTGTTTCTAATCTTGCTGAATTTCTTCAGGTTGTTGAGCTTGATTTTCTATATCCCAGTGAGGGTATCCATAGACGTTGGGATAGTGGTTACAGGATCACGTCTACAGCTGCTACTTGGGATCAAGCTGCTCTTATATTGAGTGTGCCAAAGCGCAAACCCGGTGATGAGACACAGGAGACCTTGCGCACATCTCAATTTCCAAGTACTCATGTGAAGGTAATACTTTTATTTTAGTATGGAAATTACATAAATAACACATAAAAATAATGCCTTGCTTGTGGAATTGTACTTGATTGAGTTAATGGCCACCTTTCTGAATGGACTATCACAAGTCCATATATTTTTTTGGTGATCTCTTAGTGGTAAAAAAAAGAAAAAGTTACATGGGCAATGGCCCAATAAGTGTGAATGCAAATATGTACACTGCAAATAAGTGTGAATGCAAATATGAGTGTAAAATGGTCCATATAAATTGGAATGGTATTCGATTTCATCAGGCATGCATAGAAATACTGTGCTTAAGGCTCAGTTTGGAAAGAGTACAAGTGCAAATATGTACACTGCAAATATATACAAAATAATGCAAAATATAAGATTTTGCACTCTACATATTTGCATTTGTACTCCTTCCAAACTGAGCCTTACCTTTTTTATGCATAAATGCTTGAATCTGTCAAGAAATCAACAAAAGATCTAAATTATAAATTGATTGGAATGGCAGTATTTGTTAATTTATGTGTTGTCTCATTATGATTTTGGTGGTATGTATACAGGAGAAATGGGCTAAGAATCTCTATCTTGCATCTCTGTGCTATGGTCGGACTGTGTCTTGATTCCCGAAGCTTGACAGCTTGCCCTCTGCTTGCACAGTTGCACTGCAGTCAAAAATACGAAAACTGCAATCATGTAATTGTGAGAAGTCTGTGCTGAGAAGGAAACCAAAAGCTTCTCCGTTACTTCTGATTGTTGTATATTTTTTATGGAAGCGGAATCTCAACTGCAATGACAGAGAAATATACTCCATTTTGTGATGTAAATTTATATACAATCAAATATTCTACTGAAAACAAGCTGTTGGTGTTACTAACAAGGGTGAAGTGAAACTGTCTATTCTATTGGGAGGTAAGGTCCATGTTCTAGGTTCGGCAGAAAAGGTAGGAGGGGCTGGTAAGGTGTTTATGGCCATTCCAATCCGGTGTAAATACTGGCAATTTGGTCCCTCGCGTATTGTGCTTCGTAATTGACTTGTATCATGGTTTTAAACTGTTGATGGTTGGACTGTTTGGCCCAGAAATCGGCCGAGGTACTGGTTCCGTTATAGTGCTGAATCGTTATTTTACTAAAAATTGCTGAATTGGTCAACGAGCCATTGAATTGGTCTGACCTTTGAACCATTTGAACGGGACAATGTTTTACAGTTCAATATATCTTATTTAAATTAAAAAAAAAAGCAGAGAAAAAGAGGCCCAAGAGACGGTCACAAATCTCTCAGATCTCAGATCACATACATAGAGAGATCTCAGATGAGAGATTTGAGAGAGATTTCATATCTGTTATCATCTACACTGTTGCCATCACTGCTAGTGTCACGAGGCTAGTCGTGGTATCCCGTGCGGCACTCGAATGTGATGAGTAAGCCTAAGCAACAACACAAGAAAATGCAATAAAGATGGCACACGAATTAGCAAAAGRCTATTTGTATTGCATTAATGGATGGCGAGCATAAGCATACAGTTCAGTGATGAGGGGATCTTATGCTTAACTTTTACATGCTTATGACTCATTCGACTACCTACCTTTCCTCAAAGAGTATGTTAAGCTTTTGGGGGAGTGACAATAGGAAACATAAAAAAGATGAAAAGTCATACTATAGAATTATAATAATGCCATTGGCAATCTCCCCATACAAAGTACATGCACAACCCACCCATGATACACACTTAGACACTGGAGTGGTGGCTTGTAGGCATGATGGATGGCACTTGATGGCGTGGCGAAGAGAACACTTGTGACATTCTCTCCCACTCAATTCAGTCTTCGTCCTCGAAGACTAGCTTTTGCTTGAGGTTCTGAACTGTTGTTGATGAAGGAAGGTTCTTTAGCTGCTCCACGAAATTTATCTCTTCCAAGGCCCGGGCATGATGATAGGTGGAAGTCTTCAAGGCGTTCTGGATGGTGGGAAAACCTATGGCTAGTCCCTACGGTAAGTCCTTGCCTAGCTGCTTCAAGATAGGATTTTGGTTGCTCTAACTTGGTGCTAGGAAGGTTTGTGGCCAAGGCTAGGTCAAAATGATATTTTGGATTGTTAGGGTGTTGGTTCCCATGCATTTTTCCCCAAAGGTGACTCACAGGGCTACTACTAGATTTAGCCTGATGGATGATGTGAATGTGGTCCCTAAATGGCTTGGGTGGCACTCGTACTCCCCGGTGGTTGTGATAGTAGATGTGGGCAAGGTTTGGCATGGCCTTGGGTCTTCTGTTGGGCCCATCAATTGCTGGCGCTTGCTGCTTCTGCTGCGAAGTCAACTTCCGCTGATGTGGTTGGTGTTGAAGTTGATGCTGATGCTGATGCTGATATTGGTGCTGACTTGGGCGTTGGCGCTGGAAATGGAACTGTTTTGGGGGAGACTTCTTCCTGGTGACGACTTCCCAACTAGTTCCAGTGTCGACATGAGATGCTTGACAGGGGTTCTTCCTTGTTGACGCAACGCTGTCTTCATGGTTACTAGTTTTTTTACAACTGCAAGGCTGAAAGCTGCTTACTAAGTATCTGCAAGGCTGATGAGACATGAACCATGCAAGGGGAGTGTTCGTCCAAAATAAGTAAGCTGCTGATGTGTGGCATAAGTGTTGCTTCTGCCTACGTGAGGAACTCCACTTCAAGAACAACCTGAAAATCATCCAAGGGTACCACAGGTAGATTGATGGGTCCTTTTCATGGTCCAACTCGGAGTTCTACTCCACGAGCCATGCACTCTAATGCTTTGGCCCCGGAGTTGACATCCTTGACCCACCCTGTTTGTTTGGTGGTGGTCAAGCTGAGTCGCTTTGCCTCCACAAGCGAAATGAAGTTGTGGGTGGCCCCACTATCCACCAAGGCTTGGGTCGGCCTCCCGCTGAGGGTGATGTCTACATAATTCAGCCCCTTGTGGGCTTTGGTGGGCCGCTTAGATGTGGCCTCTTTCTTGAACATGGCGTTGATGAGCTGGAGGGCGCCTACTCTTGGCGCCGCTGTGGGTTTCTCCTCATCGCTCTCTTCACTACCCCTGAGTTTGGCAATGAGGGCAGTTATTTTCTTTCGTGTTGGACAATCACTCGTCCAATGCTTCCCATTGCAAAGGTAACAAGGCGCAGGAGGATGTCTCCTAGTGAATTGGTGGCCCTGATAGCTTGGGCCTCCTTGTGGCTTCTTCCCTTGTTGGTAAGTGTAGGGCTTGTTCATGGGCACTGGCTTCTCCTTTGTAGAGGTTGATTGTTGATCTCCCCCACTCAAACTCATGGTGCATGGGCTGGATGGTTTTTGCGCATCTTCCTTAGGTGTTCTCAGATCAACGAGCTGCTCAACTACGGCCATGGCGGTGGCGAGGTCCTCAACCCTGCGTCGTTGGAGTTCGAGCTCGGCCCATGGCTTGAGACCGTCCATGAAATTGAACAGGAGATCCTTGTTTGACATGTCGGAGATCTCCAGCGTCAAGGCCGAAAACTCCTTGACATAGTGATTCTTGATGTCTGAAATTCTTCATTCTTCGGTGTGCCATGTACTCCACATTTTCTAGGTAGAACTGACGCTTGATCTCACGCTTTATTCCAACCCAAGTATCAATGGTGCGGGTTCCACGTTCAATGTCTTGGCAACACCTACGCCACCATAACATTGCGATATCAGTCAAATACATAGCAGCTGTACGTACCTGAGTTTGGTTGTCAATGATGCCAGTGGCGGAGAAATAATGCTCCAATTGCCACAAGAAGTTGTCAAGCTCCCTAGCATCCTGAGCACCTGAGTAAGGTGTTGGCTCACGGATCTTGATGTTCATGGAAGCTAGGGTCGAGGGAGTGCTAGGTGCATTGGTCACCACCCTCTTTAGGAGAGTCATCTCATCTCTCATCTCATCCAATTGCGCTTGAAATATGTCTAGCAAGCCCTGTAGGCTACTTTGGGAAGGCCTAACTCCCGAATTTTGTATGGTGGTGTGCATGTCTCTGAAGGCACCATTGAAATGTCCTTCTAGTTCCACCACTGCATTCTCAACAGTCTCTAGGTTGAGGTGGATTTCATCGACCCGATCTCGGGTTTCTCCCATTGTTGCCTCACAACGTAGGAGGCACATGTCCATGCTAGCTAGTTGGTCGACTGATTTGTCGCGCTTGCTAGCTTTAGTTGTGCGGCCCTTTGGGGCTTGTGTCTTGGTAGGTTCGTCAAGTGGAGCTTCATTAGTGTCGTGGGCTTGGAGCCGCCCATGTGGTGTGTCATCGGCAATGCCACGGTTGCTCTTCATTGTGTTGACGTAGGGACGAAGGCAGGGTTCAGAGTGTGTGAAGGAGCTCCTGCTCTAATACCAACTGTCACGGGACTAGTCGTTGGGACTCCGTGCGACACTCGAATGCGACGAGTAAGCCTAAGTAACAAGCAACAACACAAGAAAAGGCAACAAAGATGGCACATGAATTATCAAAATGCTACTTGTATTGCATTAATGGATGGCAAGCATAAGCACACAGTTTAGTGTCGAGAGGATCTCATGCTTAACCTTTACATGCTCATGACTCACTCAACTACCTACCTCCCCTCAAAGAGTAGGTTAAACTTTTGGGGGAGTGACAATAAGAAACATAAAAAAGATGAAAAGTCATACTACAGAATTACAATAATGCCATTGGTAATCCCCCATACAAAATACATGCACAACCCACCCATGACACACACTTAGACACTAGAGTGGCGACTTGTAGGCACGATGGATGGCACTTGATGGCGCGACGAAGAGAACACTTGTGACAATAGGTCATTTTCACCTCAATTTTTTTTTCTTCCTTTCTCTCTCTTTCATCATTCTTTCATTCTCTCAACTGGCAGAGCCTTCTCGCCATTATTTCATCACTTACTCATAACATTTATATTCATCATATCCTAATATTCCAATCCAAAGGATAGGATGTATATATATATATATATATATATATAACTATTAGAACATTTGAACTGTTGACTTGAATTGCTGAACTGTTGACCCAGAAACTAGGAATGACAATGGGGCGGGGATGGGGAACCACAAACCATCCATGTCCCCACTAAAATCTCCATCGTCACCAACGGGGACAAGGTTATCCCCACATAAATCTTTACTCTATAATTTTTTATAATGTTTAATATTTTATTTTTATTTATGAAATTAAAAATAAAATAGTTCAAATTTACAGTCCTATTAAAAAAAATTCGAATATATTTAAACATATTCAATCATATTTTTAAAAATATTAATGTATATACCTATATATATATATTATATTAGTGGAGGGGTACTCTCTCATCCCTACCAAAAATCGGTGGCGAAGGTTTTCTTTTCGAGTCAATTTTTAAAACCTTGACTTATAATATTAGTAAGCTGCTCGACGGAGTCCATATGATCAACCGTCATGGAGAATGCGTCCATCCCAAGCAAATAAGTTGACAAGTTTTAATGAGTTAAAGACAAGGTTCAAAACGCGGTATCCTGTCCTATTCTTTTCTGAGATTTATACAGGGTTCCCCTACCGCATTCACTTTTTTTGGCTGAATAATTGCATTTACTTGTATCCCAATCAGTCTATCATGTTCATATGTTTGTTGTGTACCCTAAGACTATGTTTGGTTTAAAGGAAAAAGTATGGAAAGGAAGGGAAATATTGGGAACAAGCCTTGTATAGTTTCCTTACATTTTCTTTCCTTTTTCTACCTTTTCCTTCAAACCAAATATAGCCTAAATGTGTCTAACCATTCACATCTTTAATTATAGGGGAAATCTATAATTTATCCTTTTTAAGTATAAAAAATAACTTATATTGGCTTTTTAAAGCTATGCATGCATATTTTAATTATTTTTCCATCTCTTAATATTTTTAAATGTATTTTGGTGATTTATATTTTACATAAATTATTGAAACACGTATTTATTGCATGGGGTAAAAAATAATATGGCAAATTTTTTAAACTATCCATATATTTAGTTAATTGACAAAATGTACCCTTACTATTTAACTATTATCTTAAACCACCCTATTGT